TGCAAAGAATATGAAAAAATGCAAACCCCAAACTCAAGAATTTGACACTCAGTTTCAAGAACAAGCACCATTTATTCATATTTCAGGAACTAATTCCTGATTTATTTTGCCATTCTGTTTTTTGTTTTTATTTTACTTATTTACTTAGGTAGTACTGGGGTTTGAATTCAGGGTTTTGTGCTTGCCACACCCTCAGTTCTTTTTGCTTTATGTGTTTTTTACGAATAGGGTCTTGCATTTATGCCCTGGTAGACCTGGACTGTAATCCTCCTATTTATGCTTCCTGTCTAGCTGGGGTGACAGAGGCATACCACCATGCTCAGCTTTTATTGGTTGAGATGAGGTTTCTCAAATTTTGCCTGGGCTGGCCTCAAACCATGGTCCACTCAATGCATCTCCCCAGTAGCTAGGATTACTAGCACAAGACATCATGCACAACCCCATTCTGATAATCTTTTTTTAAAGATATGAAGTTAACAGCATGTACATTCTCTCTTGAGATCTATTTTGGCTTTTGCCTTATTTTTTAAAACAATTTATAATTTTTAAAAATACTTTATCCCAGAAACTTTATTAATTTACATAGTACTCTTTTAGAGCAATCACACTTTTGCAGATTCCCTGACACTGTCAGTATTCCTAATATTAATCTGAGAAGAAGTCAATCCTCTGTTCTGGTTGCCCTCTAGAATTATTATTATTACTATTATCATTAACATGTATTAATTGTAAAATTAACAGGCTTCACTGTGGATTTTTCCATATATGCATGCATCAAGTTTTGATCATGTCCCCCCTCCCTTCTTCAGCCCTCTTCCCTTTTCTCACGTCCCCAACCACTTCCTAGACTCTAATAATCACGCTTCAATTTCCAGGCCATCTTTCTTTTTTGCTTGTTTGTTCATTTGTTTAGCTTCTACATTTGAGAGAAAATATTCACTATTTGTCATTCTGTGTCTGACTTATCTGGATGGTTACAATTTTCCCTGACATTCTATTACACATTACCTCCCTATATGATGGGCCTTCATTTTGACTGCTGCTAATTAGATGACAGAGATTTTCAAGCAATTTTCTTCAAAGGGTTGATGGGGAGAATATTTTCCAAGTTTTTGTATAGCTGAGAATTTTGCTTTCTTCACACATGATGGAGAATTTGGCCAGATACAGTATTTTTTGACTAATATCTCTTTTGCCTCCAAATTCTGTCTTGCCTTTGGTTTTGTGTGTGCCAGCAACAGCTAAAAGAAAACTGTTTTTTCAATATTTTGTTGATAACTGACTTTTCCCTCCTGCATTAATGTTTCAATTTTTTTTGTTTTCTTATAATTAAAATGTTTTGCCACAACATGTTCAATTATAATTTAGCATACAACAGGGTAAGCACTTTCAATACTGTTCTTTCTTAAGCTCAGAAAGAAAATGGATTCTTCACGGCTCTGACTATTGTTCATTCCCTTAGTCTCAGGGCCTCCTTCAGCAGGAAATTCCATGTTTTGACACTATGCTTTCTGCCTACCACATGGATCATCTAACAACCTCATGTGATCTGTGGTCAGTTTTATTTTCCACGTCACTGATTTAATTTTCTGCAATACTAACTCAATTTTGATAGCTTCCTATGTGGTTTGTTATTTTAATTAAGGTATTATAAAATGCATAGAACTTAGATGTTCAGTTAAATGAATGCTAACAATTATACAAACCTTGTTATTTTAATTAAAGTACAATAAGGTATTATAAATGCATAAAACTTAGATGTTCAGTTTAATGAATGCTAACAATTATGAACAACTTTAACTACTTTAAGATAGTAATCATTTCCATCACTGCAGCAAGTTTCCTCATGGAAAACTTTTCTAGTCAATTATCTAGCCATCACCCCTAGCAACAATTTCTGATTTCTATCAACATAGATTAGTTCTGTGGGTCCCTGGGTTTCATACATATGGAAGTATAGTTAATTTGTACCTGGTTATTTTTCTTCACTTAGCAAAATAGTTCTGAGATTGATTCACATTTTGCATATAACAATATTTTGTTCTTTTTAAGTAGTGAGTATTATTCTATTATATAAATAGAATAGAATAGAACAGAAACAAACACAATTTGCTTGTCCAAGCTTCGGTTGACAGATGTTTGTATTGTTTTCACTTTGAGGCTATTATGAATAAAGCTGATATAAATATTCTTGTACAATTCTTTTGACAGACATATTTGTTCATCTCTAGCAAAACTGCTGGGTCATATATGGATATATTCATTTAATTTTATCAGAAACTGCTAATAAAGTGGTTATACCATTAACCATCCTTCAGGTGTTTTCTCACTCTCTTATTCTTTTTGATACTGCTTTCTCTTGCTTGCAATATTTTTGATAAGCTTCAAGTGGACTTCTGCAATCTAATACTTGAGCAAGTCAAGCTGTGCTCCTGTGCTCATGTTCCTTAGCAATAGGGTGAGTGAATTACTTTTGGGCATCTTCTCTATCCATAGTATGAGGTCAAGTATCTTCTAAAGTTCACAAGAGAAGGGCAAACTGATACAAAAGTCACATTTAGGAAATAATATGGCACAAGGTCCCTATTGCAGTAAAGACTGTATAAAAACTGAAACAGCATTCTCCAAGTTAATAAGCCAATATACCATATTTAACTAATCATTTTGTCAACAGATCCACCTTGCTCCTTTCTGGTACTGTGCCAACCCCTTTGCTGCATTTTTTCTCATTTAATTCTCAAAACAAGCTTGCAAGACAGATGTTGTTATAAGTATTGTTGCTAGCATTGTTACATAAATTAGGAAATGAATCTTTATAACATTAAAGTAATCGGTTCAAGGTTTTACATCTCCTAAGTGACAGTTACAGCTTTCCTTACACTTTGTAGGTCATAACTATACAATCTAAATTAAAAAACTGGAGTCATGTGATAAGCATAAAGCTTAGGGCCCAAGTCCTGGAAAATCTAAAAGCAATACCTACCTGCTAAATTTTTCATATTAACTAGTTACCATATATAACAAAAACTCTTGGTCATTTTTTACTTAATCATTAAAGTTTTCTTATGAAAATAAAATAAAATTTAGTTTAAATTAAAATAGTCTCCTGCCTTGACAGCTAGGTCCAGATATTACCACAATCTCAATGATTTAATCTTGAATTCAAATTTTAAAAATCTTTGATTCTATATAACATTAGGAAAAACTTGTAATCTAATATCTCTTGTAAAATATGTATAAAATAAATCTGTATATTATTATGTGTTTAATATAATTGCTTGATGTAAAAATAAATATCTTGTTGTGACAGAGACTTGAGATATTGTAGAAAATGATGAAAATCATTAGTGTCAACAAGCATTATAACCCTATGCTCTTAAATATCAGGAAGACAAATGCAGCAAGAGCAAAAAACAAAGACACGGTCCCATGATCTCACTCATCTGAGGAATCTAAAAAAGATGGTTGATTTCATAGAAGTAAAAGTTAGAAGGTCTGAGGGTGTGGCTGAAGTGGTAGAGCACCTGCCTGGCAAGCATAAGGCCTTAAGTTCAAACCCCAGCACCAAAAACAAGTTAAAAGAATGGTTGTTATTAGAGGCTGGGGAAGGGAAGAGGGAGAGAGAGATGGGAAATGGTTAGTAAGAAAGGACTAAGTTATAGTAGATGAGAGAAATCTGGAAACCATAGATAATAATATTGTGCAGTACATTTCAAAAAATCTAGAAGAAAAGATTTTGAATATTTTTACCAGACAGAAATAGTAAGTGTTTGAGTCCATAGCTATGCCTACTCTGATTTAAACATTACACAATGCATTACATGTATAGAAATATTGCATGGACTCCTTTAATATATACAATTCTATGTCAATTGAAAAAAATTAAAAACAAAATAAGTCCTTGTGCCTCCACATTCCCCTCCTTTCTTTTTTAAAGAAAATTTAAATTTCTACCCAGTAATAAAGGACAGCTCACAGTGGATGCTTAGATATTCGGTGCTGGCTGTCACTTTCAAAGTGAACAGCACTGCGTAAGTTCAGGAAAAGCAACTAAAATGCACCATGAGGAAAGCAAGCATGACTCACTCAGCCACCACCTAGAACATCCTTCAGCCTGGGCTGCCTGTGGCAGTGAGGAGTCTCCTTGCTTTGGCCCAACCCTGCTTAAAAGCAAAGTTGGTGCTCATCATCTCTTGGAGTCATCAGGGCTCTCAGAGACTGAATTTGTGCTATTGCAATGTCAAATAAATTTTCCTTGGAGTCTTATTTGTGATGAGAAAGTTTTTGAAAACTGAAAACATACAAAACCAAACCATTAAAACATTGCCAGAAGGACAAAAGAAAAGGAAAAAAAAAGGTCAAAGACTTTTTAAAAAGAATCTGCAAAACCTTTTAGAAGGAATGAATTGTCCTTCATAGCCCAATCTAAACATCAAACAGGGGAAATGGTTTTCAGAGGTTAGTATTGTCACAACTTCTCACCTCACATACACCTTCTTACTGTTTCCAGTTCACTGTTCGGTTAGATACTTATTACTGTAAGATATCACTTCCAGATAATAAAATTGTTTCATTCCTTTTACTTTTTCTTTCTTTCTTTTTTGATGGCACTGGGGTTTGAACTCAGGGCTTTACACTTGCTAGGCAGGTACTCTACCACTTGAGCCACACTTCCTCTCTGATTATTTAGGAGATATAGTCTCAGTCTTTGCCCAGGCCTGTCTGGACTATGATCCTCCTGTTTTACACTTCCCGCTATTGTGGGGCAGGCAGGTCCCATGCCCACCTTTTTTCCAATGAGATGAAGTCTCACAAAGTTTTTTTTGGCAAGGCTTGCCTGGAACTGAGAACCAAATAGGTGTGATTACAGGCTTGAGCCACCACTGCCCAGCTAAATAAATATTTCTTAGGCATAGTACTGTCTCCTGCAAATCAGTTACCTCTGAGAGTTATTCACTAATTGACCATTTTGCCATCGCTCCAAAGGGTGAATTACTAACCTGTCCCCAGACCTATCTTCACCTCATGTTTCAGGACTTCAAGCACATTCAGAAAGCCACTGCTCAGCCTGTAGAGAGAAGATGTCAGTCAGAACAAGGAGATGTATGTGATTCCAGCAACAGAAGGACAATGCGATAGTGTTATCACTAAATACTGTGTTTCCCATCATACCAGCTCTAATGATGACACAAACACATTAGTGACATCAGATCATGAAAGTCCTGGAGCACAAAGGATCATATAGGGCTCAATCCTTGGACCACGCTTAATCTCAGGAGGGTATACAGTAGGAAGAGCCAGAAGGGAAAGTAGCAGATAGCTTGTATGGAAAAAACAAATAAATGAAGAATTTGAACCTTGCAATTAGTCCAAAAGTTTTACTGTCTTAAATATTTTTTAGCCAAGCCATCCTTCTGAATTAGGAAGGAGAAATTATAAAGCATGCCTTTCCTCTAGACCCAGAACAATTTGTTACCCTGAATGAGCAGTGACATGTTAAGACTAAAAAAAATAGTACCCCAACTTATGCTGTTTTGGGCCCTATACATTTAAAAAGTCAAAATCTGTCTCTGACATTCTCCCTTCCTCCTGTCTCCTGACTCCCTTTCTCCTGTGCAAGACAAGCCATAGAAATTAGAATTTCTTATGGTGGGTGGGGGGCATGTGGGTCAGTTGTAGAGAGCTTGCTTAGCATGAATGAGGCAAAGCTTCAATCTCAGCACCAAAAAGAAAAATAGAAGAAAACTAAAACTTCTCTTTCCCAAAGCAAGTCACAGAAACTAGCACCAATTTTCCTCAAAGCAAGCTGTAAAGTTGGAAATTATTGCCATAATCTTCCTGCACATTTTTGGTCTTAAAGAAATTCTCTGGCATGCCTTGTCTGATAGAAGGTCATAAGACCACCATATCAGAACGGGGCCTACCCATACTGGGAAGGAAAATAATGATATACAGAAAGGCCAAGAAGGATCTGAAAAGCAGGCATTTCTGGGTTTTCCCACTCTATTTCTTAGCATTAGATCAAACTGTTTTTATCATATCACATTTCTATGTGGCTGTCCCTGCTCCATCAAATTAAAGAATAAAAATAGGGATAGTTCTCTATGTCTTTTGATCTTCATTTAAAAGTTCCAGTGCACATAAAACTGATACAAATTGGGAATGCCTTTCTCTTTTTGATCTGTCTTGTTACAGAGGGTCAGCCGTGACCCTTATGATGGGTGAGAGAAGATATTCCCCTTCCCTATCCCGCACTTGCAAGATCAAAGACAGGAGGACACAGCTAGAAAGGAGACACAGGTGGTGAGACAGAGCCTGAGAGTTCCACTACTGCCTCTTAGGACAGTAGCAACTCTAAGAAATGGTTCCTGTGCTGAATTCTGGACTTCATCACCCTCAGCTTACTAGATATGGTGGCTTTCTCAAAGGTCATGAGAAAACGAAAGCATTTCCTTAGAAGTCCAAGACAATGCCAAGGTCAAAGCAGTCTGCTGAAAGAAGCTTATGACTAAACTTTCCAAAGCCCCAGGGCACACATAATAAACCCCTCAAGATTGTTGGCGAACAGCATTTAATCAGCAACATGTCCTTATGAAATTTAAGTTCCAATCTCAAATGCAAAGCTGGAACATGTTTTGATTTAGAGGATTTGTCCAACTCATGAAGGGATGTTAAATGCTCCTATGGGGTCACTAGACCATAATGAAGGTCACATAGGCACAATTCCCTGTCATCTGTGACTACTGTGTGTTTGAAAACTCAAAGCCTCCTGAGCCCCTTAAAACACTACAGAAATATGCCCAGTGGCTCCAGGCACCCTTCCCATACGCCCACTGACACACTGGAGTCATTCACAAAGTCTACCAACTGCTAACACCTCCAACAGTTGGCTGAGGGACTCTCTCCCACTGCTAGAACCTAGCCTGCTTTGCCCTTGTTTGAAGAAGGTCAGAAGTTCCAGGGAATTCATGGTCCTCCTCCCCCGTAGCAGTCCTCCATCAATCGCTGCTGAGCATTTATAAGTATCTCAGCTCCCTCACTTCTGTGTCAGAATATTCTTGAGATATTGTACTCACTCCCTGAACTTTCTAGAAAGATGAAACTCCAGGATCCCACAGTGCTCATTCGTACATTTCTTACTGACTACCTTCCTTTCCCCATCTTACTTCCGTAAAGATCATCTGCCAAGTAAATACTTGTCATGAGCTTTTAACCTTGGATCCATGGACTAGCATCAAGGGATGCATGAATTCCATGAAATTAGATGTAAGATTTTTATGACCATGGGATTTTTTTTTTCTTTTAGTACTAGGGCTTGAACTCAGAACCTGGCACTTACTAGGAAGGTGGTCTACCACATAAGCCATGCCCCTAGTCCTTTTTTGCTTTAGTTATTATTAGGATAGGGTCTCACATTTTTGGCTCAGGCCAGCCTCAGACCATGACCGTCCCAATCTCTACCTCCCAAGTAGCTGGGATCATGGGCATGAACCACCACACCTAGTCCTATGAACTTTTTTTTTTCCTGGAGATACAAGCCATAACTTTTATCTGACTCATGTATAAATCCACAACCTTTAAAAAGGTTAACAACATGTTACAAATAAAGTTTTTATATTCTGGAGAATTATAATAGGACAAGGTCCTTCCTGGGATCTCTTATGTGAGCTGGCATTCCATCAGACTCAGTACCATGACGTGTTCTAGCATGTGGTGGTTCATGCCTGTGATCCCAGCGTTGGCCTCTCGGAGCACTGCACTCCCCTCTAACTCCAGATCACAAATAGGAATAGATGTCACTACTGTCTCCCTGGAACACCCGCTGGCATAGGCATTTTTCAGTACCAGCTGTAAATCCTGAATGGCATTGGTTTAAAATGCCTTCTGTTATATTTTCTATTGCCCTTTTTTGTGCAAACTCAAGAGATTTCAGGAGATGTGCTGTTCTTCAAATGCATCCTCTGCTAAAGGTCCTCTTCTAGATGCTCTTTTTTTCTTCAGGCAGTACAAGAAAGCAGCCATCTTTCTAGTTCTGGTCCCAGTCAAATATAACTATAGAGGACAGATCCTGCAGGAATGAACAACTAAGAAAACAAAGGTATTTGGCTGTTTGTCTACAACCCTCACATTCACAGTCTACCAAACAATCATTGTCTACTTACGATAAATTAGAATTAGGACAATGTGAGATGGATGCTCCTCGTTCACTGAATGTATTGAGTTCTTCTGCAGAAAGGTAGCAGCCGTGCGCCATCACTGTCTGGAGAGAAGAGGGTCCTACATGGAGTTTATCACTCAAGAATGTTTGCACTAGTACTCACTCACAACCAAGTATCATAGAAGCTGTGACTTGGATATTTCAGTCTTTACAGGAATGTTTATGATTACCTGAAAGGACAAAATCCCTGGGTACAAATCTTAGAGCTCAGAAAAGGCCTAAAGCATAAAGTTACAAAAACTTTCAGCAAATTTGTGGATTTCTTTCTCTCTTTCTTTCTTTTTATTTCATTAACATTTTTCTTTCTTTTATTTCACTTATTTGTTCACTTATTTATTTATTTAGTTTAGTTAGTTAGTTTGCAATGGTGGAGACTAAACCCCCCACCTAGCTGTACCCCTAGTCTTGGATGTTACCTTTGTTTCTTTTGGTTGATTAATAAAATAATAACAGTTGGTTGAGTCACCTACAGCATAGTGTATCCAACCAGTCTGAAGCTATAATTCTATCATCTCTACTTTAGAAAACTATCAACTTGCTTTCTTTCCTAAGTCTTCTTTTCTTTTCTAAGTCTTCCTAGCTATGGCTAGGATTATACTTACTCCAATTTCTAGAAATACATGGGAGCTGAGCACATGATTCTACAAGGATTGTTCTTGATTTCTGCTCCTAGTTTTCATATACATATCAATGGCTTTTGACACATAGCCCTAACCTGTGTTCACATTTTTATAAAAATTAAGAAATGCAATATCCCATAAGGATAAGTGTTAATAAACATTAATTCAGAAGGTAAAATTGATTAATAATTTGGATGCCAAACACATGAGACCTTTCTCAGTTTTTAGCCTTGGTAATATGTATGGCTTCTCTTGAATAGGACTTTATTCTCTCAAAATTTTTTTTCCCTTAGTACAAAACCAGTATATAAATAGCTTTCTCCTTTGGGAGACATGGTTCAGTGACCACAGAATTATTATTAAAATAAAACGTTCTCAGTCTCTGTGCAAATAAAATTAGCATGAAAACTGAAGGTTAATTTATTAATCATATGGAAATATATGTAAAAGAGGATGAAAATTATGATGTAGCAGTTACATGATTTATGCAGGTATTAACCTTTCCAATCAGCTACATTCCTATCTCCATTCACATAGTCACTAGGAAATTATTTGCTGTAGCAAACTCTCCAAGCAGTGTGTACATTTCATTGAAGGCCAAGGTCAAAGGGTATATTATCGTAATGAGATCTGTCATCATTCATATTAATTACTTATAAAAGTAAAACATACTCATTTTTTAAAATCTCAGAGTTTAAAAATAAAAAAAAAGAAAGCCTTTCTTCCTTCTCCCTCAGGAAGAGTCACTTTTAATAGTCAATATGTGCTTCAAGGGATTCTAGGTGAAAATGCACCTGTGTATCTACACATGTATATTAGACTGTGTAGCATCTGCCTTGGAAGCCTGTGCACTTTCTTTGTGAATGTTGGATGAAATTCCAATTATATATGTTCCATAATTTAACCAATCCCCTACTGGTAGCCATTTTCAAACTTTCCTATGTAATAAACATCCCTCTTCATATTCCTTAAAGGATGACTCCTTATAAATTCATCTTCTGACTCAAAGAATAGCACATCTACATACTAATGGTATTGTCAAATGGGCGTTGGACTAAGGGACATTCCCACCCTCCAATGACACCTTTAGATTTATGGACTGGGATGAAACTTCAGGCCCTATTAACTCACATACCACACACACACACACACACCCCACACACCACACACACATACCACACACACCACACATACCACACATACCACACACACACACACATACCACACATACCACACACACACCACACACCCACACACACCACACATACCACACACACCACACACACACACACATACCACACACACACCACACATACCACACACACACACCACATACACACCACACACACACACACACACCACACACACATACCACACACACACACCACATACACACCACACACACACATCACACACTACACACACATACCACACACACACACACACACACACACCCACACACACCACACACACACACCACACACACACCACACACACATACCACACACACACACCACATACACACCACACACACACACCACACACACATACCACACACACACCACACATACCACACACACACACCACATACACACCACACACAACCACACACTACACACACATACCACACACACACCACACACACACACACACCACACACACACACACACACACCACACACTTTAGTTTGGTGAATGCATACATGTCACAGAAGTCTGAAGATTACTACTGAGATTTTAAAAATTAGGTAGATGTGCCCTGCTTTACATAGATTATATCATGGTATAGAATTTACCTTATTTGTCAGAAGATTGTTTTTATCGTAGACATCTGTGTAGCTTTTATAACTGGGGTATAAGTTTTTCACAGCTTCAACTTCATCACGATTTTCACTTATATGGCTCTATGAGAAAATATATTTTCAATAAAATATTAGAAATTGTACTTCCTGCCTGAAAATGGTATGACTCATTTTCACTTGCTAATATAAGAGACCATATAGGAAGACATCAAAAGATGTGCAGAAACAATTATATGCAACATATATAGTGATATATATGATCAGGAAACTGAATATCATGAACATGGGATGTGTGCACATGATCTCAAGACAAATTTTTCTTTTGAAATTTCGAACTATAGCAAGAACAAATATAAAGAGTCAAAGAGGCTAGTCATTTGTGGTGACCTGCCATTTCTGGTGTTGGTCATTTAAGAAAGTCAGTGCTCATCGAAAGGACAGAGGGCATAGCTCACTCATAAGTTCTGGCCCTAGTTATGTGTCTTAGGGTGGCTCAGTCTTTTCTTTGGGCCTCCATTTTCTCATCTCTCAAATATCAGGGTTGGGCTAAATAAATAACTTTGCAAATTCTTTTATCTGTGGATATGTTATTCATATTTCATGTTTTAAAGTTCACAGATATCCAATATTAGCAGGCATAAACAAGCTGCTGTCCAGGATGGAGTGGGATTGGTACCCTGGGACCTGTCCCCAGTTTAGCCTTTTTGTTAGCTTTCTAAATGGGTTCTGTAGAAAACAGGTAAAAATCACTGAGCTGAACAATCTGGCCATCATCAAGAAAGAGCTCATCAGAATCCACATGCAAGCAAAGCAAGTGAGTCTAAGGGCCTCACACCAGCCTTTCTTTAGAGAAACATGAAACCTAAGAGGTTTTCCATCCTAAGAGGATAGAAAGTGGTTTTGAGACTCAACATTTACAAGTAATTATCCCAGTCCCTAGTCTAAAGCAAATCATTTCAGACCAATTGGTGATGAGCATATATTATGAGAAATGATCATGAGCACATGGACAATGCCATTTCTCTCTACATGGTAGAACATACATAGAAAGATATTAAAAGAAAAAGTAGCAATGCTCTAAAATCAGGTATTCCACCTTAGATAAGGAGTACTACCCCTGCCCTTGAGAAAATCCTAGCCCACTCATGAAATGCATGGACATTGGAAAGAAGAAAAGGCAACCAGATGATTCAAGCCATTTTGGTAAATGTAAGGAAATACACATACATATGTATTATACATCTAACTGGGGTTCAAGAATAGGCTTTTGTTGTATGCCTTTTTTATTTTATTTTTTATATATTTTTAGGTGTGGTTTGAATTTTATTTATTTATTTATTTTTTTAGGAAGAGAAGCATTTTTTTTCCAAAGTAGAAATATCATCAAGTTTTGAGTTTTATCACCAGGAGATAATTGTGTGGGACTGAATCCAAAATTCAAATATCATAGACCACAAAAATAATGGGTAAGATGAAACTTCATCTAAGAAGCTAGATTTTAAAAATAAATAAAGAAAACGCTGCTGTACAAAGTGATAAAGAATCAATATATTGCCTTTGCCCTGACTTATCCTTTCCTCTAAGATTGTCTCTTCTTAAGAAGAGAAATTTTAGTACAGTATGAAATTAAGCTTGGATTGGTGGAAGGGGACCACCCAATTTTAACCTAGCTGTAAGATTTTAAGTGTCTTATTGCTAAATCACAACTTAATGATAAAGTAAGACATATTTTTGTTCTTGATTTTAAATTAAGAAACTCAGAACAGAAGGTATTTTAAATACATTTTTGTAAGGTAGAAATTAGGTTCTTTTTGCCTTTCAAATAAAATCTGTTTCCTCCAAGATGAAAGTACAGAACACTGAGAAAGCAGCAAATAAAAGAGAAAGGAAAGAAATGCATTAAATGTGTCCTACAGAGAATAGGTAGTCTGTCATTAATCTTGCTATTACTTATACAGATGTCTTGGTCTCTTTAATACTGATCAGAAAACATTGAGGGAAAAAAAGCAATTTCAGGTTTCTTACCTGCAAAAGTAAAGTACTCAATTAGGTGACATCCATAAGGATACTTCCTGCCCCGAAATGCTATGACATTAGGAGATCTCAGTAAAATAACTGGAGGTTATTGGAGATCATGGTTTAGGATACCGAGATATCTTGCGGGTCCAGACAGAAGCACAAACAGAAGAAAAATACCTACCTGAATATGCAAATCATGGGTCATAGCGATATTACCAAGTTCACTCATCAAAGTCTCAGAGCAGGAAAGAGAAAAACGTGGTGTCACTATGGGCTTCACTCTAGGATACTGGAAATAATTTTTAAAAATTGATTAGGAAAATATGGACATCATGAACATGTAGTATTCCCCAAACTGCGTATCACATAGCAAGTTGATTTTACATCTTCATTTTTTAGGGCAGTGCCCAATTCTGAGTCAGCATAAGTGTTGGGTTTCATGGAAATAATTCATGGCTGAAAACAGAATATATGTTTCAGTGCCAAGTTCAGCATAAGACCCTATCTTGAATGATAGACAATACACCATTAATGCTCAAATGAAACTTAACATTGCCTTTATGAAGAGCAATGGAGGCAGAAAGAAGTTTTAAAGGAGACTGCTGAAAAGACCACAAAAGAGTGGTGTCCTTTTCCTCTCTGTACATTCCAAGGAGCTGGCCCCAGCATCCCCATGCGTGATTTGGTTGCAGGATTGTCTCTGGTGCCATCTGAGGTGAGTGGATAGGCAGGAGAGGACTCATAGAGGAATGGTGAGAACAAGGATCTACAAAATCTCACCTAACTCTCTCTATAGGGAGAAATTCTGAGCATTTTTAGGTTTCCAATCAGATTGTAAAAGATGGTGAAGGAAGGGGGAGGCTTGCTAATGTAAGAGACTATCCCTGGAGCCATAAACCAGCCTGCTGGGCTAAGGCAGGAAATAGCATTGCCTATATAGGTTCACCCAAACTAGAGCACTGTGAGCCAAAATAAACCTCCTTTCAAGTTGTTTACCTAAGGTATTCTCGCTGTGATAGAAAGCTGATTAACACACCTTAGATCAACTAAAAGCTCAGTAGACTTGGGATCAAGTTTATGCACCTAACTAAATTTAGGTCTTTATTGCACATAGACATGGGGTTCTGAAGCCATGAAAAATACAAACAATTATAGGAATAAAGAGACCTTGGTCTGCAGAGGAGTGGTATGTCACAGGCCTGCAGGCAGGAATAAGGTAAACTTCATGCTTGCTGATCACGTAAGTGGTGATTCAACAAAGCCACTAAAATCACTTAACAGATTCAATTTCAAAGCTAAGAGGCCTAAATGCAGAGTCACACCAGCTTCACTAGAAAGCAAAGAAATCTCTGCTTCTGTCGGTTTGACATTTTTTAGATTTCACATGTAAATGAGACCATACAGTATTTGTCCCTCTATGTCAGGTCTATTTCACTTAACACAATGTACTCTATAGATTCATTTATACTGTTATAAATGTCGAGATTTTTCTCTTTTTTTATGACTGAATAATATGCAAGTGTGTGTGCTGCACTGTATCCATTCATTCACCCATGGGCACTTATGTTGTCTCCATATCTTGACCATGTGATAATGTTGCAGTGAATATGGGGGTATAGATACCTCTTCAAGACTCTGATTTCATTGCCTTTGAATAGATACCCAAAAGTAGAATTTCTGGATCACATAGGGAGATTTTGATCAACGTATACAAACTATCAGTAATAAAATGAGTAGGTCGTAGGATCCTTTGTATAGTTCAGATAATAACAGATGTATTAATTTGATTGTTATCATTAAACAATGTATATCAAATCATCACATTGTACACCTTGAATATTTACAGTCTTCACTTGTTAAGTACCTGATCTCCTGAGCTGAGTTGATGAGTCCACTGTGTCAACAATTTAAGGTTGACACAATATTTCTTCATGCATGAAATAAGCCAAATGCACACAGACCAATCTCTATCAAATGGCTTAACAGCAAATCCTACAACTAACAAAAAGGCATTCCAAATGCAAATTCAGAACAAATTTACTTACATTCCTTTGAAGCATTTCTGACACAAATCTGAAAGGAAGCAACAAATGGGAAGTTAGACTAGTTTAGCATTTTCAAATAAATGTTTTAAAAGGGTGAAAACATGATCCTTACATGTCGTGATTTTCATGCAAACATTTCGAATGTTGCACGTTTCACCAACAGTAATTAAAGATTAACAAGTAGTAATTACTCTGCTTTCTCACTTGCAGCTGAAGGTGGAATATGAAATTACAGGGCAATGTTATCATCCAGAATCACTTGGACTACTGAAGACTATTCCCACAGCACTCAAGTTGTCGTGGTAGCTCAAACTCCGTGTGGCGGAACATTGCAATATATTGTGCTCCATGGATATTAGAGTCTTGGAGTCCTATGCACCTGGAAGCATTTAAAAGCTACTTCTAATTCCCCTAAAGTGGAATGGTTTACATAGTATCAGCACTGATTTCTGAAGGCAGAGTCCTATGGGAGTGAATATTGGAGAAAGTCAGAAGGAACAGGCCAGAGGTGATTGTAAAGTGTGTGGTGAATGGGGCAGGTGTCCAGTTTTGCCTGCCTGGACAGTGGCAAGTATAAATAAAGCCTAGGAAATGACTACTTCTGCCCTGGCCAGAAAAAGCTATTAGGTATAGCTTTCTGCCTTCTGGTATTCCTTTGTTGCAGAATAAAATGTGGATTAACATTTATAACCACCAGAAAAGTGGATTCATAGAGATGCTGAGCATATTGCCAATGTTAACGGGCAGGTGTGTACTTCCTCCTTTCTGAGCATGTAGCAGCCTCTGGCCTCCTTCTCAGGGGACATCCTTCAAGTCAGGGGGGCCTAGGGAATGGAAATAAAATTCTAAACTTGCACCAGAATAGGTTTTTTCCTGAGAAAAGATTTATATCTAAAGTATTTTCTTCTGTATCTTTTTGGATGTTGAATAAAATACAATGAATTCCTTGTCAAGTACTCAAGGTACTATGGAAAATCCATTAAAGAACACGTAAGTATTTATATGATTAGTAGAATTTTCCAATGTTATGTGGAAATAAACATAATGAAAACTCATGATCTCAAGCAATATCATGACCCACAGCCAAAAATAATTTAGGCAGGGTGAATATGATCAAAGTACATTATATGTGTACATAAAAATGTCCCAATGAACCCCATTATTTTATATGATTAGTTTTGAAAATGAGTAGGACACACATGCTTAAGAGCAAATTAATCTACAGAAGTAGTCTGATCTGCAATACAGGATAGGAAGAAGGTAATTTTAAAAAGAATACTTCATTATACAAAGGAGTTTACCCTAGGGTTCCTATAGCAAGATCCTAGAGGCTTCAGAATATAATTTGATACACAAAAATAGTATTGATGTGCAAATTTTTTCTAAGGAACACATCAATTTCATCAAGTTGGGTAAATTACACAGTGACCTTGGCAAATGAGAATAGGGAATTAATGCATTAATTCTTATTTTCAACTTTAATTCTATATCCTAGGAAGACTCTAGAGTATGTTGATACATCTTAAGATTCTTAGCCTTTTAAAATTGTTTTTGCTTAACTGTGCAGGATTCAGGGAGAAAGGTGATAAGAGCAATGCTAGAAGTATTGAGAGAAATACAATTTTACTACAGGAGAAGATCATAAATAGCTGTAATCTCTGAAAATAATGTTCCATTTTAAGTCTGCAAAGTCTTTGTAAAAAAAACAATTTCTTTGCATATTTCAAAACTGTCTTTCAAACATATATTTACTTAAAAAAACCAATCACTTTCTACTCAACTCCTTATTTAAAGGGGATGTGAACTAAAAGGTACATATCTCACAGACTTATTTGTATTTTTAAGCAATTTTATTGAAGTATAATTTACATACCATAAAGGTAACCTGTATTCAAATTCAATAATTTTAGGACGGTAACTGAGTTGTAGAACTATCATCATAATCCAGTGTGAACATTCTTATCACCTCAATTAGAGTCCTTTGGCTCATTACAATTAACAGGCATTCCTACATCCAAGACCAGGCAATCTGTACTCTATCTTTCTGCCTTTAAGGATCTGTATTTTCTATACATTTCATATAAGTGGAATCATATAATAGATGGCATTTGGGGTTTGGTTCCTTTCACTTATCATAATATTTTAAAAGTTCATCCATGTTGTAGCATGTATCATTATTTCATTCCTTTTCATATATGGTAATATTCCATTGTATAACATATTTTGCTTATTCATTAATGATTTGATGGGCTTTTAGATCGTTCCTGCTGTTTGGTATAGGACAAGTCTCCACATGGCCCAGGTCTCCCCGTTTCTCATCTGTGGTTCTCAGCGTAACTAGTGAAGGTGCTGTAAATGCAACATCCTAAGATAGGGACTGGTGGGCCAGATCAGCCTGGGCTGGTTCTTACTCTTCCTGCAATTCTTTAGCCCAGTGAGCCAAGTTTTCTCCAAGTATGAAACCCTAGATGGAGCATGGTTTCAAGGTCTCTCCAATGAAGTGCAACATGGCGGTATGCACAGACAAGACTTTACCCATCCCAGGCAACTTTCCTGAGCCTTAGAGAACCAGCTCATCATGAGTCCTAGCTGTGAGTAATAAACTTGCTTCAGTTAAGCTGTAGTGTAGAATTCTGTGTCTCCCTGGACTCATGAGGGTGATCGACACTACAGCATGGCATTGGCGAGGTGTTTGGAGTCCTCCCCTAGAACCAACACTGGTGCTCAGTGAAACCTGCTTCACATTTGGCTTCTATGAATAATGCTACTATCAATATTCACATTCAAGTCTTTATGTGGACATATGTTTTCATTTTCCTTGTATATACCTACATCTTATGATCCTATCTGCATATAGCACCCTATTCTTTGAATGAAGATCTTTCCAAAGTAGGTTGTTAATAAACTCTGGTGAAACCTGTTCTGTACCTAGCTTGTATGTCACCATCAAATGTTCCTAAAACCTTTATCATAGGTATTACAGAGAGGCCATGCCCCATGTGAGAACACAGATGTGGAATCAAGGAAGGGAAAGGAACCAGGGCCTTCTTGTCTGTTATGTCTTTACTTTACCTTAGAAAGGTGTCCTTTCAGGTCACATTTTTTTGGAAAAGCTACATTCTACTTCTCTATGTTAGTATATTATAGTCACTTGAGAAGATCTGTAGAAGAAAATTCTTTCTTTGTTAAGGTTCATTAGAGTAGTGAGGTTTGTAGATACCACCTTAAAAAACACTAAAGGGATACAGAGTAAAATCTCAACATACAGGAAAGTTTAGATGGTTTCCTTTGTATCTACTTGTGCTTCTCCATATTTTATACCAGAGGAGAACATATTCTTTTGATATATTTTTAAAACTTTTGAAATGAAATAGCTTTCATTAGTCTATAAATGTAACTTGTGGCTCCTAACTTTTTGTGTAATATTTTATTCCGTAAGTGATTCTTCACTTACGCCATCACTTTTGAATATGCATATGCCATAACAAGTGCTCTTGCATGCCTTCTGTTTTTCTCCCTCTTTTCATTGAACATAAGGTTGGATCCATGTCATAGTAGAAAGAACTCTAGAATCATAGACTCTGGTTTAAAATTCTAACTCTGCCACTTAAAAGCTATGCAACTAGTATGATTTGGATAAATGGCCCCCAAAGGTTCACGTGTTAAAGGCTTGGTCCCCAGGATGGAGCCTCTGGGAGGCAGTTGGTACCCTTAGGAGGTGAGGCCTCCTCTGAGGTCATTAGGTTGCTGGGGGCATGCCCCTGAGGGAGACTGTGAGAACTTGGCCACTCTTCTTTCTCTTACTCGGCTTCCTGGGTCATAAGGTGAGTAGTGTGCTCCACCAGGCACTCCTGCCATGATGTGCTGCCTCATCAGAGGCCCAAGTGCATGGGGGTGCTGCTTAGTCATGTACTGGAGCCTCCAGAACCACGACCCCAAATGAATTGTTTCCCCTCCTAAGTCGATTGTCTTTGGTATTTCATGAAAGTGATGGGAAGCTGCCAAATGCAGTTATTGTGGGCAAGTAACATAGCCTATGTCAGACTCAGTTCTCTTATCATAGAAGACAGATGCACTGTGGAGAGTTCCATGAGGATTTAGTGTGGCACTACAGAGGAAAGTGCTTTATAAACCTTTAATCATTAGCAAGTGTTTGGGCAGATTCACCACAGACTATCTATAGACACGACATTAAATAGGACATTCTGAATCACTATGTGCAGATCCCCACTGGGTCATAACGGTATCCAGTTTCCTCTCTCCATCTCAAACTCCATCAATGCGGCAGACAACTCCCCCTAAAAAGATATCAAGACACGGGGCATGTTACCGTTCTGTTTCCTTGATTGATTCCTCAGTGGTCTCCTTGTAGTCTTGAACAGTATCGTTCAAATCCATGCAGACTTTGCCCACAAATGCCCGCTGCCCAAATTTATCTGCAAAGCACACAAAATAAAAATCTGAAGGTGTGCTTCTGTTTCAAAGGGTACTTTTTCTGGGCTTTCTAAAAACACTCTTAAATTGAAATCATTATGAAAAACACAAGTGAGAATATAAAGGATTATCCACTATCACGCCACCAAGAACAATAGCAACAACAAAACCCCACTCAATTCAGTAAGTAGTAATGTTCCCTATTCTTCCCACGTCCCCACTCCCTGGCTGGCCAGGGTGTTTTGTGCTTCTTCAGATGTTCCTTTCTTTATATAATTTATATATTTTTTCTTAATGCCATAATTATTTTTGTTCTCATTTTATCAGATGGTACAGCAAGTAATAGCCTTAGATCCTAGGAAAACACTCTAATAGTCGTCAGCATACCTACACTGTTTCTTCTCATTTTCCCCACACTCACAATCTCCCTCCTGTCTCCTATTCTACCACCATCCTCAGAATGAGTATTTTTCTCGACATACTGTCATCCCCTTCTGCATCAAACACAGCATGGTAAAGTGTTAAGAACATAGGTCCTAGAGTTTGACAGACTTGGGTTTGATTCCTTGTCCCTCTGATTACTCTAGGATGGCAGATATTATTTGTGTAAGGTCTTACCTATATGGTCCCAGTGTCCCCTTCTATATGCAGGATTATGAGGAACATGTACAATGAGGTGTATAAGGTGTCTGCCAGATGGTACTCAGGCGCCACACTGCTGTTCCTCTTAACTGTAGCATATCAATGTTATTACTTTTGGGGAACTTTGCTTAATGTTTCCAGCTGCTCTCAAACCTGAGGAAACTGGTGCTGAAAGAATTCTATTTTAGCTGAAAGTTGAAGCTACATAGGGCAATGTTAATTGCTCTTACAATATTGCCACTGCTGTCATAAGTCTTTCAAAGTCTTTCTGCCTCTCTCTTCCCCTGTAATTTATTTTAATACCTGGCCATTAGATTAATCTTGCATGAAGTGCCACTTTCATATCACTCACCTGGCTCAAAACCTTCTTTGAGTCTTTGTATTCTAAACTCTCCCATCTCCTAACCTCTTTTCCCACCCCACCATGGAAAGAATCCTCTCCTCCATTATACCATTCTGTTTTCTTTTGCTATATCCTGACATTTCTGTCCTCACTCATCTGTCCATCTCATTTCCTCTGTCTAGGAGACATTTCAGTTTTTCCCATTTTGTCTTCCCTCTCAGTTCAAAGGCCTTTTCCATGAAGCCTTCCAAGATAACCTGGCCATAGGTTATCTTTGCCTTTGAAAACTGCAATATTTATTTTTCAACACCACCAAGTAGGTCTTTGACAAAAACTCCCTTGGCCATCAGCAGTATAAGTGCTTAACCAGCAGTGTTTGACGAGCACTTGCTATGTACCAGCCACTATGCTGGATGCAGGCTTTGCAATCATCAACCTAAAAGCAAGTGTCAGCTCTGCTTACTAGCTATGCAACCTTGGACATCTTACTGGACCTCTCTGAGTATCAGTTTATCCATCTGTTCTATGAGAACATCAACAACTATCAAAGAGGGTTGTTTGCATTGTACTTTGTACAATGTCAGACACTGAGCAACAGCCCACAGATGTTACTAAAATTATTAATCAGTGTGTATAAGTATTCTGTCTGATTCTTCAAGGGCAGAGACTGCCTTTTATTTCATTGTGTTCCCAGCATCCAGCACAGCATCCTATGTCTAGACAATAGCCAATGATTATAATGTAATAAAATTTTACCACAGCTAGAATTAATAAATGTGCCCTAAAAATGTCCTAAATTAATACACAAACTTCAGATCCATAAACATTTTTCTGGAATCAGAAACCATACATAAGTAATAAAATTACTTAATCAATAAAACACTCAAAGAGCCAAAGATGCACACAGACACTTAACTACTTGCAAAAAATGCAATTCTAAAATTCTCATAATTAAAAAGCAGGACTGTCCACCAAGTATAAGTTGTTGCCAGGCACAGTCTGGCTGTCTTTGCTTGATGTGCCCATAAATCCTGCTTTCATCTGCTCACCTGTAATTTCTGCAAGGAGCAGAGATGAGTCAGTGTGAATTGTTCCAAAGTAACAAGCTGTAGTTGTTCCATTCTTCAGTGTTCTCCTCTAAAAATAAATCACAAAAACCTGGAATTGCATGTGCTCAGAAAAGTCACATGGCCTATATAGATGAAAATAGAATTCTAGTTTTTATTTTTAAAATGTTTTTATTTAAAGGTATGCTGTGGGGCATACTTAAGTAAATGGCAAAAGTATTTATATTACAAAAGTGTTAGGTGGAGAAGACGTTCATACTTTTGATTTCCTAGATTCACACAGTTCTTGTTTCAGAATTCATAAAATGTGATACTCATTAATTCCTTACTTCTTAGGATTGTTTAAGGATATCCAAGTTTTATCACATTTGGGAGTACATAAATGAAATTTTTCTATCTATTACCAAGTAAAATTATTCAGCCAGACTTCTAGTTCAACCTGGCAGATAGATAACATGTATCTATCTTTTTTTCTTACCAAATTTCTACTAACAACAATAAAATAGTACAGAATTTATTAACCCCCAAGAAGAATATGAGAGAAGACAGGAGCAGAGGAAACATTTCAACATCCTTCTGGCAGATTAAAAAGAAAAAGCATGGTTAAGACCTGGAAATAACTTGGGAAGATGATGGGAAGTGTGTATGCTAGCAGGTGATTGGCTGGAGGTCTATGTATGGACAAACTCCCAGCTGAAGTCACCCAACTACTCCTAATTTGTTCGTTATAGGAAACATGTACTCTCTGTTGAAACTGGATAGTATTTATAGATTTTCATGGACATTTGGCTGACATTCTCCAGAATACATACGTATTACTTCTACCACTCCCAAAAGGGGGCAAAAGCATTCTTTCCTAGAAAAAAATGAATGGCTAGAAGAAGCTGTTCTCACAGGACATTTAGGGCATCTTTACTGCCCCAAATTTCATACTATAATGAGGTTCAGAAGCCAGCAAATGTGGATCTCATGGGTCTGTCTTCAGCAGATCCTACTTAAAGTGTGAGGGAAACTTCCAGACTGGATTCTTGCTTGCTTTCTTCCTATTATGAACTGTATGACCTTGAGAAAGTTGGTTGACCTTCTCAACATCTGTTTCCTCCTTTGCAAGATGAGGGCTTTCTTTTAGCTTTAATTTTTTAATTTAATTTTTTGAATTGACATAATAATTGCACATCTTTGCAGGGTACATTTATATATTGTGTGTTTTTCAATTCAGAACAGACATTTTCCATCATATTAAATGCTCACTTTTCTTTGTGATGAGTACCTTCAAAATTCTTTCTCCTGGCTATTTTGAATTGAACATTATTGTTTACCATAATTACCCTCTGTGTGGTGGAATACTAGAATGTATTTGTCCAACTTAGCTTTAACTTTCTACCCATTAGCCAATCTATCCCCATCCTTGTCCTCCTCTCTGCCCATAGTGACCATTGCTCTGCTCTTGACGTCCATGAGCTGAGATTTTAGATGTAGGGACACACTATTGGGATGTATAATGCATCACTGGGAAGAAATCTAGACTATTAAGCAAAAATTAGTCCAAAGTCTGGCTACATAAAATTGAAGAGAGGTATTTTGAGGTGGATAAATGATAAACTGTATTGATAAAAAAAATTTTTTTCAGGTGAAACATCAAGGCCTAAGAGTGTTCTTTGTAGACTGGAAAATTGATGACTGTGCACATTCAGGGCAATGTGATGTTAGCAGTAATTATTTCATGAATTTAGAGATAGGGTATACTGACATTTGTAAATGAATACCAAATTAACGAGAAATGAGTTGACAGGAAAAGAGACTGAAGAGAAAGAGCTGTGGTGTGAGACATGAGAAGCAGCCAGAACAATAAGTCTTAATCTTTCAGTGCAAACCAGAGGAGACAATGCTCTGTAACCTCTGTGCTTTCTAAGGCTGTGATGTGTATGGAGCTAGCATTCGCACCACTGTTCTCAGTCTTCAGTAGGGCAGGAGTCAAGAAGCTAATGCATTTGCAGGAACAAAATAATGTGGAATTAAGATAACAGGAAAATAAATGTCCTGCTTTGCAACCTCTACTCGGCTTCAGACAACTGAAAAGAGTAAATGAGAGTCCAGTGAAGTCAATTCCTAAAGTCAAAAAAGACTTTGGATACTTGGATTTTGTCAATCTTTCAAAATTTTAAGTCACTTTGTACATGAAATAAAACATCTGCCTGCCAGTAGAGGATACTTAGAATCTGTCTGCTCTATCAGAATCACAAATCCAGGTGAAAAGCTAATCTCATGTCTGAGGCAATGAATTTGATCTTCAAGTGAATAGAAAAGGGTCTACATTTTAGTGTGTGCTCAGCAAATATTTATTACATGAATATCTGAGGAAGCAGAATTACTGAGACCACAAGACACATAAATTATGTATAATTATATCCTAGATTAGTAGAATGGATCAGTGTTTCCCTGAAGAATAGACTATCATATCAGCAAGAGTGAATTCGTGATTCACAAAATTGGGCTGCAACATTGTTTAAGAATGTGACAAGAAAGAAAAAATTCAGAGACAGGAAAGTAGATTCAGAAGTGTCAAGATCGGGTTCCGCGAGCACCCGGCAGACTGAGGGAGAGAGAGAAAGGAGAGAGAGGAAAGGGAAAAAAAAAAAGGGAGGAGTGGAGGATGATTCAGGGAATTCAGGGAATAGGAGCTGGGGTGCTCTTCTGCACTACAGAACATTTCTAATGACATGGTGAAGATAGGAAAACTGTCAGAAAGGCTGTAATACTTTTATACTGATGCAGCTGGACAGTAAACATCCTTTACTTCTAGCAGAAAAACAAGAAGTTCTCCACAGGAGCAGTATCACCTTTCCCAGTGCTTGGAAAGGGGAAAGCTTGTAGCAGAGGCTCCCGCACAGGAGAACTCTGAGTAAACAAAGCCTGCTGGGCCAAGTGAGTGCTAAGTTCACCCCAGAGATCTGCAAAAATAATGCGGCCAGCAACAGCAGGCTGACAGCAGCGGGCAGGCAAGCCACAGCCACAGATAGCCATTCATAGAACTGTCTCCAGACTCTTTTTTTTGTCTCCCTACCTTTGATGAGAGAACAAACGAACTACACCTGCAAGCTGAAAAACTTTCTGAAACTGTACTGCATTTGAACTTGGGACACTTGGTGGTGTTTTTGTGAGTGTGTGTGTATAGTTTTGTTCTACTTTATGCGTCCCCTTTGATGAGACAACTACAGAACAACATCTGAGGCACCATCTCCAGGATTGGAGACTGAAATGGACACCCAAATTATTAAGACTGAAACTTCATTGCATTTGAACTTAGAGGTTTTTTGTGTTTTGGGGTTTTTTTTTTAATTTTCTATTTTTCATTTTACTCTAATTCAATTTTATATATAGATATTTCTTTCATTTACTTATTTTTTATTTTTATTCTTATCTTTATTGTTTTTATTTTTTATTTTCAATCCTCTCTCTGTCTCTCTAATGTCTGTTCAGCTTACTGTTGATTAGTACACTAATACTCCCTGTTTATACCTTTGAAACCTTCTTGTCTGATACCTTGTTCTGTTTTCTCCTTCTTGTCTGTGTGTTTGTTTTTCCCTTTGCTTTAACTTCTTTCTTTCCATCTCAGCTCACCCTTCCATTCTAAATATTACCATTGTTATTATTACAAGCTAGAAAATACTTAATTGCACACAGTACAGGGACAGTAACAACACCAAAGACAATGACGGGAAGACAGAAAAAACAGGGAAACCAGTTTCCCCACAGCAAAAAATTAGTACAGAAACCAGAGGGGAATGAAGAAAACAGATACTCAGATCCAGACTCCAACAAAATGAAGATAAACTATGCCAAAGGACCCAATGAAGCCCACAAGAATAATTTAAAAGAAGACATACTACAGGTACTCAATGAGGATTTTATAGAGATAATACTGGATAGGGTCAACCAAAATGTACAGGAGACACTCAAGAAATTCCAAGACAACAAAAATAGAGAATTTGAAAAAGCAAAAGAAGAAATAAAAGAAACCATAGAACCAGTGTATAAACACCAAAGTGAAAGAGAAAACACAATGAATAAACAGATAAATGAACTCAGGACAAAAATAGACAACATTAAATAGGAAACCAGCCAGGATATGGAAAACCTCAGAAAAAAGAATGAAACAGAACTGCAAAACAAAACAGAAGGCCAATCCAGCAGAATAGAACAAACAGAAGACAGAATCTCAGAACTTGAAGATGAAATGGTAATTAAAGGAAAAACTGAAGAACTATTAATTAAACAACTCAAGACCTGTGAAAAGAAAATGCAAGAACTCATCGACTCCATCAAAAGACCAAACTTGAGAATCATGGGCATCGAAGAAGGAAAAGAGGTGCAAGCGAAGGGAATGCATAATATATTCAACAAAATAATAACAGAAAATTTCCCAAATCTAGAGAAAGATATTCCCATACAGATGCAAGAGGCCTCCAGGACACCAAACAGACCAGATCAAAATAGAACTACCCCACATATCATCATTAAAACAACAAGTTCAGAAACTAAGGAAAGAATATTGAAGGCTGTAAGAGAGAAAAAACAAGTAACATACAAAGGTAAACCCATCAAAATCACAGCAGACTTCTCAACAGAAACATTAAAAGCAAGAAGAGCATGGGGTGAGATCTTCTGGGCACTGAATGAAAATAACTTCAACCCCAGGATACTCTACCCAGCAAAACTATCATTCAAAATAGATGGAGCAATAAAAGTCTTCCATGATAAGCAGAAACTAAAACAATATGTGACCACAAAGCCACCACTACAAAAGATTCTTCAAGGGATTCTGCACACAGAAAGTGAAACCCAACTTAACCATGAAAAGACAGGCAGCACCAAACCACGGGAAAAGAAAAAGCAAGACAGTAGAGAGTAACCTCAACTTAGGTACACACAATCAAACCTTCAAACAACTAAGACAACTAAATGACAGGAATCACCACATACCTATCAGTACTAACACTTAATGTTAATGGACTTAATTCACCCATCAAAAGGCACCGCTTGACGAAATGGATTAAAAAGGAAGATCCA